TATGTATATATATATATATATATAAACTTATAAACTTCCATGGTCATTATACACAACATAAATAGTGCAATGAGCCTTTGCCTAATGACATATTTTTTGGATATTAGCAATACTTCTATATTCCAAAATGACAAAATTGTCTTTAAATTTATTTATTGTTAAGGTTGCATTTTAAAGGACATTTTCTCACCAAGGCAGCTACATGCTTTGCACCAAAGTAAAAGTGAACAAAACCATTAGTGGTCGATGGTCAGTTGCTCACATTCATTTACAGAAAACAGGATGCACACGAGGAAATTATAGTTTAAAAAAATGCTGTTTTGTGTCTGGTAGCTTGCAAGAACAAAGTTTGTAGCTCCAGCAAAAAATAATAAAATTATCATACATTAAAAAAAAAAAAAAAAACCTTAGAAATTATTTAGGACAAAATAAAGAAGGACAATTTTTTCTTACCTCCCCAGAAAAGGGTCACACAAATAATCCAGTCCATTGTGTTTTTCTCATGGAAAGTGTGATATTGTCTCTTTAAAAAGTAAAATAAAAATCCACAGCAGGAGGCCACTGCGTCTTCCACTTGACAGCGTTGAGGGGAAAACGTTGAAGGAGAAATGTAGAAATCAAAAAGGAACTGCTCAAAGGTAATATAGAAACACAAATGAAGGAGGAGTTACAACACTGCCACTCACCATTTTGACATTCAACCTTTTTTGGTCTTGAGACAAACTCATAGGAGGATGACGTAAAAGCAGTTGTTTCACACTTGAATTAAGACTAGGGGTGTTTTTGAGTTGAAAAGGGAAAAATGCTAACATGCAGACATAACACAACAGTGCATGGTTCTTTACATCTGTCTGCAAATATATAGAAAGTATCATTTGCTCAGGCAGAAACATCCACCAAGCAGCATCTTCTCTTGTGGCAAATAAAGGCAACTCCACTTTAAAATGTGTGAAGACTTAAATGAAGAAACTAACTGCAGGAAGAATTACAGGTGTAAGTTTTCATAAAACCAAACTACTTTTAACATCAGCTGACATGGTGATTGTAAGGGGAATTTCATCACTTTTCTCAAGAAAACAGTGTTGTTCCTCTTTCAGACACTGTGTTGTTGGCTGCTGTTTCTTTACACATGTGGTGGAAACAGGAAACTATAATTAAATAATTACCTGCGAAAAACAAGTTTAAATTAGTAATTTGTTTCACTCTCCATTTGAGTTGTATAACGTAGTGGTTCTCAAACTGGGGTCCTTGGACCCCAGGGTGTCCGCGAGCTGTTGCTTGGGGGTCCGCCCCCCACAAAAAAAAAAAAAAAAAACATCTTGAAAAAAGAAATGTATTTTTTTTTAACAAGTACATAGATGTTTAACAACCTGTTAAAATACACCAAAATGCAGGAAATCACATTACTTTATTCAAAATTTTCTGGGGGAGGACCCCCCGCCCCACTGGCTCACCCACTATTTATGTTCCGGCATCAATCAGTTTGCAGATTAAGCCTCGTTACTTTGTACTGATGTTCTGATTCTGTTCAGATTTATGTAAAGAGTTTTTTGTAATAATTTAAAGAAGTGACACTTACTGTATTGTGTTCATTATGTGAATAGGTAAAGTTTCAAAGTGTTTTTGATGCTGTTCATTTTCCCAAAACTGTAATTTTTGGAAGTTGAAATTATTAATTTAATTAAGTGTCTTGAATGTAAAAATAACCCATGTTTAAAAGAATAAAAATTGTTTCAACACTATGAAAGAACAGGTCTTAAGTATTTATGTTAAACAAATATTTCCATTGCAATAAAGAGACAAACTGAGGAAAATTATTTAATAAACAAAAGGGTTGGTCCCTGAAACTTTTTCTCTCATGTAAGGGGTCCCTGAACCCCCAAAAGTTTGAGAACAACTGCTATAACAGACACAATGTGTCATGGTCCAACACTGGGAGTTACAGCATCTATTGTTTATATAGACGTTATGTCTGCTGTTGATTTTTATTTTTATATTTTTACAAGCTAATGTCAAAGTAAAATACTGTCAACATTCTGAGGAGGTGTCTGACAGGAAATATTACCCTTTGACATCCTGGTGGTACAATTAAAGCAGCATGTCATTAATTTGAACCCAAACAAGTCGTAAGACTGTAAAAAAGCTTTAAACATATAGTATAATTTACACTATATTGTGTGGTTAATTTAATGTGCAATTTATTTCACAATATTGTAGTTTGACAGCCATAAACATATCTGGACAAAAGAAAATATGTGTGAAGAAATTCAGATACAGAACTATTTAATTTCATGTTAAAATTATGCTGCTCTATTCAGAATGTAGATTAAACATGTACAATCACATAAAAAAAAAACTATAATAAAACTATTAAAACAAAACATGACGTTTCTAGATAATTTTAGTTATTCAAAATTAGCTTTACTCCTCAAGTACCCTAATGCAAATTAAATTTACAATGCCTCGCAATATTTTATTGGACTGTCTGAAGCATTAGCAAATACACTCTTGGATATAAATGAATCTTAGTTTTAAAAGTTAGCGTTTATGTATTATTTAATACAAATTACCAGCAAATATGTTTTAGCAGTTTTCTGTACACGGTCTTTCTGGTTGTATTTTTTGCTGCTAGTAACTTCTCATATAAGTGATGAATGGCAAAGAGTGATTTTTGAAACATTTATTGTTTGTTAATTTTATGAAAAACAGAAAGCAGAATGTTAAAAATAGCATGATTTCATTATTTGGTCTTTTGTAGTCATCTGCACTAAACAGTTGACTAATTACAAATTTCCTTGTTAGAGTGAAACAAAATAAGACAGGAAATGAATTTGATTTTTATTCCTCTGTGGGTTGAGCTCCTTCTGGATTATCTCCTTCATTTTCACCAATCATTTCTTTGTATTTGCTCTTAAAAAATCCAGCCTGAGAGTAAAAAAAGACACATGTAAGGTATAATTACGTTATTTAGTAACATCTTCTCATAATTATTTTTGTAGTTTTACTCACCTTATACAAACCAGCAGTGAGAAGAACCAGAAAAGCCAGCCCTCCCAGAGATCCTCCTATGATCTCTTTGGTAAAATCTGGTTCAGGAAACACTTCTACCTCAGTCTCAATCTGAAAAATAAGGTGACAGTATTAGATCAAATTCAAGAACCTATATTACATTTTAAAAATGAGCTAATGATGTGCTCTCACCTTGCGAACAGGAGGGGCGTTATTCGAGGCTGTTGAGAAGAAGATGTACTGGTTTCTGTCGTATTCTAAACTGGCTGTACTGGTTAAGATAAATTTGGCAGATGGAAGTCCAATCTAAAATAAAGTGGGGAAAAAATATTTTAGAATGTCAGAGGCCGGCATGGTGGCACAATTGGTCACCACATGGAATCCCGGCTGGGGGCCTTTCTGGGTGTAGTTTGCATGTTCTCTCCATGCATTTTCCCCTGGTACTCTGGTTTTCTCCCGCAGACCAAAAATATACATGTTAGGTTAATTGGTACTCTAAATTGTCCTTAGGTGTGAGTGTGAATTGTTGTTTGTCTCTACGTTTCGTTGTGATGGACTTGTGATGTGTTCAGTGTGTACCGTCTCGTACAGTGGCTGCTGGATATGAGCACCTGACCCCCATGACCCAAAAAGGAAGGAAGAAGCTGGTAAAGATAATGGATGGATGGATGGATGGATGGTTAGATGGAATGTTAAGAGTTTTGAAATTTGACAAAAGCTAACTGCATTTGAAGAATAAATGACTACATCATTATCATTCATAATAAGGACCAGTTGGATTTAACATCAACTACACTTCAGTTACCTGCTCTATCCATCCTGAGCTGAGGTTTGCAGAGATCGTAAATGTTTTCTCTTCTGACCTTTCCATGAATGTGCTGCACCTGAACACTCTGCACCTCGCTGCTGAGCAGTTCTGTGGGGAACAAAAGTAAAGCAAACTGGAGCTCAATTCAATTCCCTTTGTTCACAAAGTGCTACTTCAAAACACGTTATCGCAGGGCACAATACAAAAGATGACAAAGAACCTAAATCTAAATTGTAAATTTAATTCAAATTCAGATTTAAGTTCAATTAAAATTTTATTTATATATTAACAAAATACAGTCAGATGTGCTGCATCATAAATTGCCAGAAAGTTAAAGTTTTCTACCTAAAGAAACTGATTGCATCAAATATTCATTGTTTGCAAATATCCCATCTTGAGCAAACGGTGACAGTGAAAAGGAAATACTGCATTTTAACAGTGATAATCATCCAGCACAACTAGGCTCATGATGGGGTAACAACTATCTTGACTGGCTGTGAATTGAGAGGACAGGAAAAGGAGACAGACTGACACAGAATAATTTGTCCAGGTGTAGTTTGTATGGGACAAAAACACAGGTTAATGACAGCAATGCTTGCATGTATGAACATGGAGAGCATAAAGAAACTGTGAGGAAATGTGGTCAATTTGTCCTCCAGCAGAAAGCCTATAGCAGCATCGCAAAAGAGGAACCTGACACCCAAATTCTCTGTCTCTCTACTACTTTCATAATCACAAGGAACTACAAGAAAACCTGCAGTCTGAGGTTGAAGTGCTCTAATAAGATGAAAATGAAACAATATGAGTTTAACATAAGATGGAGCTAGGTTGTTGCGAACTTTGTATGTTAGAAGCAAAATTTTTCAGTCTATTTTTAATTTGGCAGGGAGCCAATAAAGAGAAAGCCAAGATTAAAGCATATCTAAATATTCTAATATATCTCCCTCTAACTCTTATCAGATGTCTGGCAGCAGCTAAAGACAATAAAAAATCTCAGTAGTTCAGTCTGGAAGTGATAAAGACACAGACTAGTTTTTCTGAATCGTTTTGGAAAAGGATACTTATAATTTTTGTGATTTTGCTCAGGTGGGGAAAAAAAGCAGTCCTGGTAGTGTTTTTAGTGTGGTAGTTGAAAGACATCATCAGCAGAACAAATTATATTTATCCTGTCTAGTAATTTTATCCAATAGAAGCATAAAGTCAAAAGTAGTAGTACGAGCAATGAACCTTGAGGAACTCCATGAATAACTGCAGTGTATGAAAATTATTATTAATTTGAACAAACTGGACTCTGTCAAACTAATATGATTTAAATCATCTCATAGTTGGTCTTGTACTTATGATATTAAGTTCGAGCCTCTGTAATAAAATATTTTAGAGCAGTAAAATATGTAGCTCTTATCATAGATATTTAAACAGGCACACTCAGTAAAGGTAAACTTACCACAATGCGGTTTTCCTTTATCCGTGCAATAAAATCTGTGACAACAGGTCTTTCATCTCTGTCTCTCTGACAATCTGTAATCTAAAAAATGAACTAATTTATGTCAGCTTACCTGTTCATCTCTCTAACACTTTGATCCTCTGCCATGTTTGAGCCTTTTAAAGTAGTTATAGATTTGTAAAATACCTGCAAACTGTTCGTATCCACCCAAATGTCTTTGTCACCGAGCTTCACAGGAACCCTGATCACCACAGTGAAATTCAGAGCTCTGATATTATTTGTGACCTGGAGGAAAATAGAGGACAAAACATTCAGAGACTAACGGCAAAAAAGTTATTTTTAAGGCAATGAGCTTGAAGTGAGTATTGACTCCTTAATTTGATAAAGTAATATTTTACCTTAATTAACTGCTGGACTGGTTTTTGGAGATTATTTTTTCCAAATGTGAAATTACTATAGCTGATGGGGCTGAACAAATATTGTGATATTTAGCAGAAATTTAATCACAACTTAAATTTTTCATTACATTTAAACACAGTGTTTTTGTCTGAAATAAAAGCTGACCTTTCCATTGTCATAAAAATGCTGTACTTCACTTCAATGTCTCTCTTCTTGTAGAGTTCACTTGCAGAGGAATGTTGCTGGTTCCCACTAAAAATGATGATATGAATAAAAAAAATTTGCATCAATGAGCAGTACCCGATGAGGCATGTGGTCAGTACCTGGTGGCATTTGCAGTCACAGAGATCCATCGGTCAAGTGGTCTGCTGGGATTGAAACCATAGGAGACGATGAAACTAGCCTGAAACAAACGAGCAAGACAAATTAGTGAACTCTTGTTTTGTTTAACAATATTTGCAGCAGAGTAAAAGAAACTAACCATAGAGTCGCTTTTGAAAATAGGTTTGTCAACAGTGCAGTCTGTCTTTCCTTTTGTTTCACCATCTTCACTGTCCAAGGAGTTGCACTCAATTCTCCCCTGCATGAAAAGACCAAACATCTGTAAAACTTTCAGGAGTGCCTGATCACAACTGAACAAACTTGATGCCTTACATGCAGAGATGTAAACTTCCTGTAGGAGAGCCCAACAGGATATGTGAGAATGATGTGACTGTTGTAAGAGTTTTCTCCTCTGTTCTCCACTGAGACAGTTACATCCAGGAGCTCATCAATGCCAACTTTAACCTCTGAGGAACTGAAAGTTAGACACGATTAAAATGAGGAAACCAAGACAGCATCCAAGAGCTTTTAAAAGCTGAACTCAAAGTCAGCAAAGAAAACATGCTAAGCATCAAGAAAAAATGTTTGTTCTTCTCAGTATATCCATCCATCCATTATCTTTACCCGCTTATTCCATTTTGGGTCACGGGGGTCGCTGGTGCCCATGTCCAGCAATCATTGGGTATGTTTACATGGACATAAGTAACCAGATCAAATGGCCCATCGGAATAAAAGTGTGTCATGTAAACACTCCGTTCGGGTTATTTTTTGTGTATTCGGCGTGATCCGATATAATTTGTGATCAGAACGAAACGGGTGGTTTACGCCGATCCGTAACCTGATCGGTGCGCATGTAAACGATTGATCTGTTTGTTTTTATCTGATGGTGAAAAACTGACCTGACTGCGCATGTGCGACTTTGCCATTTCCACTTGGCTAACGCTAATAATATTAGCATGTCAGGGAAGCAAAACTGGTCGGTGAGCGACACAACATTTCTACTAGAAACTTTGAAAGAGCTCAAAATGATCTGTATTACCTGTAGCTCAGTCAGGGAGTGCAGTAATGTCTCCACCATCATTAAAACCTGTTGTTTACGTTCACCCCGGAAGTAGAACTTCTTCTTCGGTGTTTTTTTTTTAAGGAGAGTTTACCACTCTGCGCATGTCAGTACTGCTGTTCAGAACAAAGCCCGCTGCATGTAAACGCTTGTCATGAACAGATTGTGCCCATGTAAACATCCATCCATCCATCCATCCATTATCTTTACCCGCTTATTCCATTTTGGGTCACGGGGGTCACTGGTGCCCATGTCCAGCAATCACTGTGCGAGGGGCGGGGTACACCCTAGACGGGTCGCAAGTCCATCACAGGGCCACATAGAGACAAACGAGACAAACAACCATTCACTCTCTCATTCACACCTAGGGACAATTTAGAGTTACCAATCAGCCTAACATGCATGTTTTTGGTCTGTGGGAGGAAACCGGAGCACCCGGAGAAAACCCACGCATGCACGGAGAGAACATGCAAACTCCACCCAGAAAGGCCCCTGGACCGGGGTTTGAACCAGGGACCTGCTCGCTGAGAGGCAGCAGCCCTACCAGTTGCGCCACCGTGCTGCCCCCCATGTAAACAATACATTTGAATTATTCAAACAGAACACATTTCAATCCGGTCAAAGAATTCTGCGCATGTAAACATAGCTACTGTGCGAGGGGTGGGGTACACCCTGGACAGGTCGCAAGTCCATCACAGGGCCACATAGAGAGAAACAACCATTCACTCTCTCACTCACACCTAGAGACAATTTAGAGTTACCAATCAGCCTAACATGCATGTTTTTGGTCTGTGGGAGGAAACCGGAGTACCTGGAGAAAACCCACGCATTCACGGAGAGAACATGCAAACTCCACCCAGAAAGGCCCCTGGACCGTGGTTTGAACCAAGGACCTGCTCGCTGAGAGGCAGCAGCTCCACCAGTTGCTGCCCTCTTCTCAGTATAGTGTATGCCAAATGTCTTCTCAAGCACTACTGCAAAATTTAAGAAGGTGACCTGGACTCAAGTGCCTGACTTGAGATGTGATTAAAAAAAGATCTATTAGGAAATAATGGCACATGATGCATGGAGTGTTGTCACTTTATGCTATAACTTTTTACTGCCATTCTTCAAATTCACTCTCCTTATTCCAGTCTTCTTAAAATCAAAAGGCAGTCCAGATTTCAGTGCCATGTGGAGCACAAACTGACTGGTTCTGGAGGTGGTAGAAAGGCTTATGAGATGATAAAAATCTGAACCTCTTCTTTTTGCTTTCAGCAACTGGCTGTAATATTTTGATTGAAATCAGTGTGTCTCACTGGAGAATACTTAAGTTGTTCATGGCAGAAGTTTCCCTATAGTGCCGGTGATTCCAGATCACTCACTAAAGTGATCCAGTTCATTGGAGTTACTTGAGTTAGTCATACTATACACCACCCCCAATTCCATATTAAAATGATTATGGCAGTCTATGTAAAGCACATGTGTTAAACTCAAGGTCCGGTGGCCAAATGTGGCCCTCGTTGACATATTATCTGGCCCCCAAGATGATGTGAGATGTAAAATACTTTATCACTTGAAAATTTTCAGTAATCTTTGATTATGATGTTGAAAGCACAACAGAGAACATCAAATGAGACCAATCAAGCTGTTGTTGAGAAACCTGAAGGAAACCAAGAAAAGATGCTGTGTATCTAACTTGAGTTCATTTAGTTTCTGAAATTGGTTTGAAAAAGGTTTTAATTTTGGCCCCATTTTGTAAGTGAGTTTGACACCCCTGAATGCACATTTGCATTATTCAGAAATGTTTATTTTAAAACTACACACACCAATAAACAAATAATCAACCTACAAATAATGGAACAAGACTAATAAAACAAAAATGCAAAATGTGCAAGACAATTAAAGGTTACTGCATATAAAATGTATGTAAACCTGTAGCTACAATTCATCGGAGTTAGCTGTTTTTTCACTGTTTTAATATAAATTAGTGATCCAACTCATCTGCATTTGAAGCTGTCCTGGACAGGTTTTACAGATTTTGAAACAAATTGGTGTGCACACTAACAGACTGGTTTCAGCAGATTTGCATAATGAATGAAACAATTTACAGTCCAGATTTGGCTTCAGATATTCAAATACATATTTTGGGTTGGTCTGTTCCTCTCACACATTTGCAGATTATTGTGCCAACTAGCAGTGCCAACTGTCCCCAACTAGTGAAGACTTTCCCCAAATGATAATTATGGGTTAAATCTGACAATAAACATTGTGTTGTGTCTTCAGCTTTAGCCTCATATGGTCTTGTAGTGTCCAACCAACATCCCTCAGAAGACATTTTTGTCCTCAGAAACAGGAACTGTCTCTTACACTCCTCTCTGTGTGCTAATCTACAAATCTGGGAGTCAGCACATCCTGATATGCTGACTGTGTTAATTATACCCCCACTGGCTAATCAACTCTCTTTCCTGGGAAGAGACAGACTTGTGTCTTGAAGAAATATCTCTATCAAAGGACCAAAATTTGCCACACCACCAACCTTGATTGTCATGACTACCAGGAAGTTACCCACCAGTTACACAGAGATTCAAACAGACCACCTGTTGTGTGACTGTATGGTGTCAGGAACCAAACTTGCATTTGTGAAGGAAAAGGTGTTTATGTAAAAACAAGTTGTTGTCATATAAGAAAAGTCATTGTGTTTTTCTCTCTCAAGATTTTGAGAGGAGGGGTTATTAAAATTAATTTATGCAGCTTTGTCTACACCCACTGTTGTTAAAGCTGCAGTGATTGGTTAAATCTAGAGCCACGGTCACTTCCTGGTGTCAGGTAATACTAACACGAGAGGTCAGTTGGAGAAGTTGTCCGAGGCTGGCAGAAGTGTGACACCCTGGCTGAGAGTTGGCTCTGAGCCAGGCTGAAAAATCCACAGGACTCTGATGCAGTAGACGGAGCTAGTCAGCTGAGAGATGGAGAAAAGTCCTGGTAACTTCCTCAGACACCCCAGAGTGATGATCGAGACACTGCCCTGCTGGACGAGACATGGTCCTGAAGGAAAGATATCCCTTCTTGCGACAGCGTGAACCTCAGGCTTTCATCATATCCATTGTGGTAATGAGAGGATGTACATCTCCTGGTATGACAAACATTTTTATTCTGATGAGAAAAAAAACTCAGTGCCAACTCAAGGTTTCTTAGACATAATTTAGTTCACGAATCTGAGATAAAAGTTTACCTAAATTCTAAAATTTAGTCTTAAATTTTAGATAGCTTCTCTTCTCAAGTTAAGACTATTTATATCATTCACCTTCTGAAATAATGCTACTGGTTATTCATTCATATTTCATATATTTGCATTATTGTCATTATGCAAACTGAAAATAAACATTACAGATTTGTGATTTTAATTGACCAAATTTCTGTGGTTTTATTTGAAGGAGAAGGATCACAACATTGCTAAGAACTCACATTATTTTTTTGATTAAGGTCGGTCCACAATTATTACATAACTTTGAACGTTTAGCGTAAACACCTGTTACAAGGTGTTCAGGCCTCTTTACTTAAGTATACCTCTACAGTCTAAATAGATATGATTCATAATATAGTGAATGAAAGTTCTAATTTATGACATACAATTTCTGCTTCAACTTCAGATCTTCTCCACTTGTAAGGTCTGCTCTGCTGTTCCAAAGTTTTGCTGTACTGCAATAATACCTACATCCACCACACCAGAGTCCCAGTCTGAGCCACAGATCCTAATGGGAAGTTCTGAGTTGAGGCCCTGGTCTAACCACTGACACCACTGTACACTTCTATGTCCCTCCTGAGACCTCCAGCTGCTCCACTGCTCATCTGAAGTTATTCTGCACAACAGCATGTCCAGAGCCTTCCTATGATGCAGCAACTCTAGATTCGAGACCATCACAGTCAAACTTCTGCCTGAGATGCATGCAGTAACAAACTCCAGTCCACATATTCTGATCTGCACCTCTCCAGGGTCCTGCACTGCAGCACTCACGTTCATTCGATACTGCTGCTCGAGTCATTCACTGCACCCCAGCTGAGCTTTATAGCATTACACCTGAATGTCACACCACAGCATTTGAGTTCTATTTCATTACGGGCTTGCCCTTTAAGGCCACTCTACTGTAGTGCTCATGATCCACACACTGTCTAAAGATCCATTCAAATCCCTGGATCAGGTGTCACTAAAATTATTATCTTTCAAGTCAGCCCTGCTTTTGACTCTGATGTCAACAAAAAGGGTAAGCGACCTCTCAGCCCTGTCAGTCACCCCCTCCTGCCTTAGAATCCATGGTGACAAGAGTTTAACGGTACTGTGCCCGATACCTAAAAACGTAAACTATTCTTTCAGATCCAGAATTATAACATTGGATGGGTTGTCTCTTCCCCCACACAATTCGGAAGAAGAGGTTCAATCTCACTTCATTTGTTCTTTTCGTGCACTTGCTTGTAACATAAGACGCACAGCTGCATTGTTTAAATCTGATCGGCTGTTCATCCATTACAGTAATCAGTCCCAGGGACAACCTCTGTCTCTTCAGCGTTTGTCTTACTAGTTATGTGAGGCTATTTCTTTAACCTACTCGACATCAGACCTTTCCCCTCCTTATAGACTTAGGGCTCATTCCACCAGACAGATTTCAACCTCCACGGCACTGCATGGTGGTATATCTGTATAGGACATGTGTTCTGCAGCTTCCTGGTTGTCACCGACTTCTTTCATCTGCTTTTACCTGCGTGATGTCTCTAATCTAATGTCTCTAATCTCTAGTCATCTCTGTCACACTCAATTCTTGGAGCTTTATCAGAGTGACGGCACAGTCATGCTCACTTTTTCTTTCTCCTTCTCACACTAAAATCGTGAGTAATCTAAATATTCAGTTCTCAGTTATGATAAGGAACGTGTATCGGTTACAGCATTTATCAAGTGCTTGAGTTAACTGCATGTAGGCATGACAGAGAGATGAGTCAGATCATGTGTTAAGCAGTTTTTGGTTCTAAGTTTTTGGGTTCAGATGGACCCAGTGAGGTATGGACTACATCCTGCTTGCCTTTAACCCACTAGGGCGGCCTTAAAGGGCAAGCCCACAATGAAATAGAACATAGGTTACAAATTGTAACCACAGATTTTATGAATTGTGAGTGCAGCCCTTTAAGCACCAGGCCTCACTGGCTCCAAGGTGACTGAAGAAAAGTTTGCTACTTGGGAGCCGAGTCACGGACTCCCACGCCATTTATGCAGTCTAGGGTGGAGCACGCACAGTGGATGGCTGTGGACTAGAGTTTTCAGTGTTGGCGCGCTGCGCACGGAGGGTATCCACTAAGGCGGCTTTAAAGGGCTGCACCCACAATTCATAGAATCTGTGGTTACAATTCGTAACCTACATTTCATGCCTCAACACGTCACTCTTGATATTACAGCACAGTATTTTTCCAAAATCGAATGGGATCCAGGAGGACCCTTTTTTGCTACCTATTGCTCCTAAAATTGAGGGGGGTAAACAGGCAACACTTCCAATTCATGACAGTGTCATGGCATGGGGGATGACTCTGCCAGATCACCAAAGTTAATGCTCATTAATTCAGGTAAAAATCCAGCAATGTTCAGTCAGGTTATCTGGATGGTTTCATTTTTTGCTGAGACATTTCTGCCAGATCCTGTACTTCATGGCAGGATCAAACAACTTCTCTTAGCACTAACTCCTCAGGTAGACCTGTTTGAGTTTTCAGCCGAGCTCCTATTCACTTTTGTGATTTAATTGTCAAACTTTTCTAGCTGTTTTCAAATAGCATAGCCAATTACTTCTTTATCCCCTTAGTTTATGCAAAAAGAGTATCAAATCAATCAAAAAGAAGGTAAAACAATGTTGTAATGCAAAAGTTTTTGTGCCTATAAAAATATAGATGTTTATTATCAACATAAGAAATGCTTAATTTTGTAAAATGCTTACCTTGTAAAACTGAAATCCACTTTCAGGTTATCTGTACATACCATGTCAGCGCCACAGCTGATCTCAAATCCAATCTGTGAAAGGAAATATGATTTTAAATACAATGGCATAAATGGAAACATATTGGTTACATTTATGATTCTTGGACAGGATGTTGCCCTGCTGAAATCTTCAAAACTCAGCACTCGTGAAAGAAATTGATTTTTATAAAAGTAGTTACATGGATAAAAGCCATGTAAAGAGCATGCTGTTTAGTGGATAAAGTGTGCTTAAAGGTTATTCACAGGATGAAAGGTTGTTGCTTGAGCCTCCTGGGCGAGACTTGGTTTAAGATTTGTGTTGGAGGGAAAACCGCTGAAGGTGAATCTCAGCTGATTCTGTAGAGGATTGAGAACATCTTCAGGACAAGTCTGTAAGAGGATGTATATACAAGCATTATCAGAGGGCAGAACACTAAGTGAAACCAATGTCTTTTTACCAAGATGGAGTTTTATTAAATTCAATAAATTATTCTGATTCTATTTAACTTTACCTTGATAGAGAATTTCACATTGCTGCACTTTTGTCCATTTAAATCAACAATAACTGATCCTGTTTTGTGTCTCTGATCCTTACTGATGTAAGCTCGGTTCTTTGGAGTTGAACGAGTTGCATCCAGTGTAAAAGTGTAATTAATCTGGGCTTGAACTGAAACAGACATTTGATTTGTTCAAAAATTAATATATATACAGATATACAAATAAATGAATTAATAATGAAGAAGAGGAACCTGCATCACTTCCAGACAATCTTCTCATGGTGAAACAAATTTTAGATGTTCCTTCTAGGGGTTTTGTGCAGTCTACGTTTTGAGTTGGGATTTCTTTGGGGCTGAATGACACCATGGCATCCACCATCACTACAGGCCTGGATCTAGAAAAAGACACATTTGGGAAAAACACATCATCAGGATTTTTGCTTGTGTAATTAAAAAAAAACTGGTTCTGTCTGTCTAGTCTATCCGTAAACCTAATGTACTCCTAACATCTCAATATTGAAAATTTGACAGAAAATGGTCAAATTATCCAGACTAAGACTTACCTGAGTAAGACAACTTTACCCTTTGAACCCACGGCTAAGTCAGGCAGTGTGTCTCCACTCTGATCGTAGGACCACTGACTGATTGACAAACCAAAGAACTTTAGTCCTGATTGGACTTCAGAGGCAGCGATTCTCTGTGAAACAGGAAATTTCTAATTAAGCCAGACACAACTGGGAAACAATTAAGCTGCTTTGTAAAGACACAAGATGGTTGATAACTGTAAATCAATGATCTTTTAAATTAGTTCACCTGTGAGTAGGTAGAGTCAATACTTCCGCCTCCCTCACCATGAAATATGTAGACTGAGCCTTGTCCGTTATTCTCTAAAGGAGCTCCAACTGCTAAATCATTAAATCTGTCTGCATTTAGGTCAGGAAGAACAGCAAGAGAAGACCCAAACCTCCCTCTGGATGATGGATCTCCTTGTAGCACCTTTAGCTGTGATGGAGAATCAAAGTGACACTCTACATTCTGGAGAAAATATAAAAATGTGAGATCATTTCTTATTCAAATTAAAACATACAGAGTTAAACGCATAAATCTACAAAGTGGCATTGAGTATGGTTGTCATTTACCAGACGAGTTAGGGTGCAAACATAAACTCGTCCCTCTCTGTCCTGGTCCTTGTACATCGGAGCAGAGATGAGGATCAGATCAGTGTAGCTGTCAGAATTCACATCCATGGCACAAACTTCTGCCCCAAAATATCCACCAGTCTGAAACAGTCCAAACAACAAATTATCATTAGAAAATGCAGAGTCAAGCAATAGGCACAATGGTTTTAATGTGTTTAATAACCAATAAGCATATCTACCTGGTGTGGATAGGGGTCGATTATTTTCTGACGATCTTCTCTGTAAACAGAGATGACAGCTCCTCTGTGTTTATATCTTGGAGCCCCAACAACTGTCAGGGTGCCTGATGTGATTGTAGCAACAGCCATGGAATAACCTAAAATCAATTGTAAACAAAAAAACAGTGAAACATGTTTAGATTAATGGTCATTTTGCTTTGGATATGCATATTGCCACCTTTCATGTCTTTAAACTAGTGGTTTTCAAACCATGGTGTGCTCCCCTGTGGGTGGGGTGACACATGCCAGCAAGGGTGCGTTGTTGCTGAAAGGTTTGTGTTTTTTCAGGCCAAAACATGTACGTTACAGGTCTCTCTTGTGAATGAGGCTGTCTGTCTCAATAAGAATATCTCTCTAAATAAAAGTAAATGTAGCAGACGGAACTAAAGTTGTCGAAGCCCTGATCTATTTTAGGAACACACAAAACAACAAGCAACAAATCTATCTAAATCTATATTATTTATTTTTGTCTTTATCAGATTGTAAGTTTGGCAAAAACAATTTTTACAATCACTGCTTTAAACTAGGGTCATTGTAATTTGAGAAATGGCATTATCAAGAAGACTTGCAGGTACAGAAGTGGAAACTTGAATAACGCTCCTACCTTTATAGGAGACCACATTTATGTGAAGCATCAGATGGAAAGATGGATAAATGGTGAGTCTTCATCTGATTGTATTTATCAGATCACACTGATAGAGACTGCTTATGAGAACAGGCAGCGTCAGAGGTCAACCTCAGGTCAACCTACTCCTGCTGTTCACAAAACTGGACCGTACCAGGACCCATACCAAGATGGGCCCAGTGTCTCCCCATGGAGACCAACCTGTGCTAATCGGACATGTTATCAGATCCTTCTTTACGCAGCTGCAGGCAGCGTGGAAGGAATGGAGCTGTAAATTTTGGAAACTGTCTGTTTTAGCCATTGAAAGGAGACAGTGCTAAAGATAACAAGTTGGAGCAAAGAAATGGAGACTGAAGAAAAGAATCACTATGGTTTGTATGTGTTTAAAATTTATATTTTCCTATTTTCATAACCAGAGCAAGGAGGTGTCTGTAACCGTATTCTTCATACAGATCATATGACATGATGTCATTCTTATTGGTCCTCTTCGTTTGAGACATGAAGTAGGAGGAGTATGTATGTTTAATCTGTGTATGTATAATTGTATTATTATAAAAAGCTTATGCACAAAAGAGCTGGAGCGTTTTCCTGGGGACTTTTTCAAGGTTCTTGAGGCTTTTTGCTTTTAGGCTTGAACAGTAAATTACCTCCTGTTGCCCTTGGGTCATTTTGGCCCAGGTACAGCGGGTGGGTTTAGAGGACCAGCATTTATCTTTGTTAAATTTCTTCTTTGTGTCTTTTAATTTTTAATTGGATTTTTTTTTCAAGGTAGTCTTGTGAGGATGAAGAGCTAGACTGAGTTACTTATTGTTTTTCTTTTGATTTTGATTTTGTCATACCCTATACTGTATGTGAGTTTTTTTTAAGTACATAACATCCTTTTTATACTTAACTTTTAATAAAATATTTGCCTGCCTGCACAAAAGTTATATCAGTGATTCCTAAGTTTTGATGAGTTTTATATATATATATATATATATATATATATATATATATATTTTTTTTTTTTTTTCCCTTCAAGGTATTACTGTAATTGATAAATACAGGGCTCTGTGGAGAGGTAAGCCTAACAATGGCTGCAGGAGGGATTATTCTATGGTGGAAGGGTTGTTTGGGTGTTCTTCTGGTTAGTCTATTGGTAAACTAGACATTCTAGACAATCTGGCCTCTATTCACCGGGTCAGATTTAATCCTACTTTGTCCAGAGAGATCCTTCAGAGATCGAATGTGTTGCCTTGTGTTCAGGTCTGGTAGGTGGAAGGAGAACTGTGACCTCCCAGATGTAACTGGTTCAACCACAGGACAAATTACTTGTTGAGTTTTGATCAATGGTGGATATTGAACAAAAGGGTCAGGGTCAGCGCTTTCTTGCAGTCAAAATTGTAGCTGTTTTGTTCAAACTTTGAAGAACATTCTGCACAATCTCATACAATATCTCACATTATCTGTTAGCACCTGAAGTACGTGCTGTGAATGACTATCAGCTACTACCACCATGATACAGACAATTGAGCACACACACATTGAGACATGGGCAAAAACATATTTGCTATAATTGGCTTTGGAAGCAGATGAAAACATTGTAATTATTTCTGAGGGAGAAGAAATAAATTTGTACTAAATTAGAATCATTGTTTATGTAGCTAATACACCATTACACATTAGTCTGTTTTATTGTCATATTCTTACCAAGATAGCTGTCAGGCTCTATTTTTGCTGGTTCATATGACCCAGTGTTTATTGCATTTGAAAGTGAGTATTTCTTGTAGCCTCCTCTCCACTGGTTAGCACCAACAATAGACATCTGAATTCCCTGTAACATAGAAATAAAAGTCTAAATGCAACATTCATTTAAAGTGGGATTTGTTTTTAATTTTGTGAGACTTTAATTAGTACTCAATTATATCCAGTATTCATTTATTTTACCCCGGGTACATAAGCTGCGCTGAACCCCTCTTGAGACATTTCAAGTTTCAGTGTCTCACCACCAGTTTGAGATCCTAGGATGTAAAAAAAAATGAGGATTTAGATTTCTTGAAGTTCCTTACAGACTTTGTAGACAATGGATATATCAGTTGTGTCATTAGGAATAAGAAGAAGAACAGGTGTCAGAAGGAAGGAAGGAAGGAAGGAAGGAAGGAAGGAAGGAAGGAAGGAA